TCAATAGGTCTATGTTGGCTTTAGGTTTGGGTATTGGCCAGGATTAAGATCATTCTATGTGGCTCATTTTATTGCTTGTATTAATTTGGATCCAGCGTTTATCTGGTCAGCGTTGTGTTATTTATCACCCAAAACTAGACTGAATATTATTAGCAGTTCAGATGCGGACTTTAAACAGTATTTGATCAGTCCTCAGTCTTATTACTCAGCATTTGCCAGAATGAGGCCTGAGAAAACTGTTTTATGTTTGCGTTTACAGTCTGAAACATGTTTTCCAGCTTATTTTATGCATTTATTTCAGTTTAACATTGAGCAAGTTAATGGCAAAATAATAATAATTAGGAAAACTAACCTATTATTTATTACTATATATTTAAATAAATAAGTCTTACTAAGCCTAAATGGAAATGCTAACTTTCTGTGTAACTCATTTTATTGCTTGTATCAATGAGGATCCAGTGTTTATCTGGTCAGCGGTGTGTTAGTTAGCAGCCAAAACTAGACTGAAAAATATTGGCTGTTCAGAGATGCGGGCGTCGAGCAGTATTTTGTCGCTTATTTGTATTATATCTGTGTCAAATTTTATCAGTCCTCGCTCTTATTGCTCAGCGTTTGCCAGAATGAGGCCTGTCTCATAATTTGACAAACTTATCTAATTATTAATCCGCCAGCCATTTGTCATCCTTTGAAACTAATTATATTTTTCTTCATATTGATGCTTTATTTTTTTCATGTTTTTTTTTTCTCTCTCTCGTCTAAACACTTGGTGGTGTAATATCGCCGGACGCTTGCCTCGGGGTCACTTTAAACAAACGCAAACGCAATGCTGGAAATTTCCTAATAAACTGTAACTAAGATGATTGCCCTGCCGGCTATTATCCCTCCATTTAAGTCGTATGATCCGTCTGTTCTTCCGCCTCGTTATTGCGGCATGACTGGATGTTATTGTAATGGGAGAGAGAATAGGAGACGGGTTTGAATGGGAGGAGAAGAGGGGGTTTATCTGAACATTCAATAATCCTTCCTTTATTTCTGTCGGCTTGATTGATGCCCCCAAACAGCCTGATATGCTTCTGATAACAATATAAAGCAGGCGGGAAGAAAGGAAAGAGGAGCATGCACATGGAAAAACACCACAGAGACGAGCAGCGCGTGTGTGTTTCTTTAAAGTTATCGAAAGCGAGATGTCAAAAACAAGGCGATTTCCGAGAAGAGCTTGACGTGTTTGTCAGTGGAGTGACAGTTTTACATTAGAGCGGGTCATCATATTTCCCCGTCATCACCCCAAATGACATTTTTAGAAAGTGACACCTTTACAGTTTGATAAATCAGATTTATGCTGAATAATGTGCGTCGCCGCCGCCGCCGCTGCTGCTGCTGCTGTCAGCGACACCCACATTTCTCTACCAAAGAGCCAGATCCACATTTAAATTTCATCCTATTAGCATTTAATTTCTCTGTAATCCTACACACCTTCATAACACCAACACACACACACACCAGGCTGCTGGAGAGCAATCTGTAGCCCTTTATAACTTGAGCTTCTCCTCATCATTCTTCTTTCTTGACAATTAAGAGGGTGGAATCTAATAGTGGAGATATTGGAATTACATCCCAGCCTCTTCCAGTGGCGCTGTGAAATATCTGCATGTTTAGTCGTCATGCGTGTGTTTACACGAGCACACACCCTCGCCATCCGCTGGGATTTATTGTCGGTTGTAGATGACTGTGTTGTGCGCTCGGCAAGGAAATTCTGCTTTCGTTTTTCTGTACTGTTTGACTATCAAGTTTAAAGACTGGTTCATTGGAAATACATGCTTCAGCTTACACTTAAAAACATACTTCTGGGTACGTTTGACTGCAGTTTTTAGGGAAAATGAACACTAGGGGGCAGCATGACGATGACAACTTTTGCTGCTTTTCACATTATAATAGACACAGGGACATGTTATGGACTTATAAAGGATTACTTTCACATTGCAAATCACCAAATAAATAATACAAACTAACTTTACGGAGTCTATGATTTATAATTAATACATTTGTGTCAACTTTATATCTACATATGGGCAACTTTTTTTGGCATGGTCAGTTTGTTTGGTAGCTCACTTTGTATGGTGTTTTACTTGTGGAGCGGAGCTGTCAAGTTCGAGTCCAGCAAAGCATGCTTCCACAAAAGAGATGAAAGCAATGTAAAATAAAGGTAAAACCATGTGGTCGCAAATAAATGCATGTTTAGTCGTCATTCGCGTGTTGACACAAGCACACACCCTCACCCGAGCCACTGATACGCCATCCTTGAGTTAGTTTTTGCTTTTCTTAATTTTTCTTGTATTATTTGCCTGTCAAATTTTAACGCTATCTAACACAGACACGTTGGAAATGCATGCTTCACATTACAATTTTAGGAAAACAAGAAAAAACATACTTAAAGATAAGTTCGACTGCAGTTTTTAGGTTAAATAAACACTAGGGGGCAGCATGACGATGACAACTTTTGCTTTTTTCACATTAATAATAGTTGCAGGGACATATTATGGACTAATGAAGCATTATTTTTGGATATTTTCTTGCACATCACCAAATAAATACAGCTACACAACTTAACAGAGTCTATGATTTGTAATAAATACTTTTGCGTCCACTTTATATCTACATATAGACGACTTTTTTGGTCAGTTTGTTTGGTAGCTCAATTTGTACAATGGTGTGCTGGAGAGCGCTCGGATTTGAGTCCATTGAAGCACGCTTCCACAAAAGAGATAAAAGTAATGTAAAATAAAGGTGAAATCATGTGGTTGCAAATATCTGCATGTTTAGTCATCATGCGTGTGTTTACATGAGCACACACCCTCGCCATCCGCTGGGATTTATTGTCAGTTGTAGATGACTGTGTTGTGGGCTCGGCAAGGAAATTCTGCTTTCGTTTTTTTAAGCGTGCCACTGATGCGCCATTCTTGCGTTTAATTTTTCTGTACTGTTTGACTATCAAGTTTAAAGACAGGTACGTTGGAAATACATGCTTCAGCTTACACTTAAAAACATACTTCTGGGTACGTTTGACTGCAGGTTTTAGGGACAATGTACACTAGGGGGCAGCATGACGATGACAACGTTTGCTGCTTTTTACATTATAATAGATACAGGGACATGTTATGGACTAATAAAGGATTACTTTCATGCAGTTCACATTGCAAATCACCAAATAAATAATACAAACTAGCTTTATGGAGTCTATGATTTATAATGAATACGTTTACATCAATATTTTATTTGGTAGCTCAGTTTGTAAGATGGTGTGCTGCAGAGCTCTCGGATTCGAGTCCTGCAAAGCATGCATCCACAAAAGAGATAAAAGCAATGTAAAATAAAGGTTAAACCATGTGGTCGCAAATATCTGCATGTTTAGTGCAGTTTAGTGTTTACACGAGCACACACCCTCGCCATTGGCTGGTTTGCCACTGATGCACCATCCTTGTGTTAGTTTTTGCTTTTCTTCATTATTTTGTATCATTTGACTATCAAATTTTAACGCTATCTAACACAGACTCGTTGGAAATGCATGCTTCACATTACAATTTTAAGAAAACAACAACAACAACAAAAAAACTTCAAGGTATGTTTGACTGCAGTTTTTAGGGAAAATGAACACTAGGGGGCAGCATGACAATGACAGCTTTTGTTCTTTTTCCCATTAATACTAGTTACAGGGACCTAATATGGACTAATAAAGGATTAATTTCATGCAGTTCTTTGCACAACACCAAATGAGTAATGCAAACTAACCTACCTGAGTCTATGATTCGTAATATGTTTGTATCACCTGTCTAATTCTGTATGGATGAAGTGGTCATTTTACTCGTAGCTCAATTTGTACTTGATGCAGAGCGCTTGTGTTCAATCTATTAAAGCACACTTTCACTAAAGAGATAAAAATAATATGAAGGCAAAGGCAAAAATACAGGGTTCACAGTGCACTTTTTTCTCTTTCGTCTGCTTTTGAAAACACTATTGGTTGGGTTTAGGGAAAAATTTAGCTCAGTGGTTCACTTGCTGACCTTTACGACAAGCCTTCTTCTAGACGTGTACATGAAGGATGTGTATCTGAAATGTGCAGCAAAAAATACCCTGTGACGTTTTTCAGATATTGTCAGAGCCCTCTAGTGCAGGGGTTCTCAACTGGCTTGGCCATGGGACCCACATTTTTACATGGTCATCAAGCCGCGACCCAAATTTTTAGAAACTATAATGCAATTTTTGGAATTATACTTAATTTGTATTTATTTGTTAACATAAACAAGTTTTGAAAGATACTTTATAGGAAATTCACCAAGACTTGCATATAAACAATATTTTATTGCTGTTATTTAACAAAATAGATCAAATTATAGAAATATTACAGAGTAAAAATGACAAATACTGTTAAATATAAACTGTTAATAAAACCTGTTTTCTGGTTTCTAAATGTTGTTTTAATTTAGAAGGTTTCATGCTCTCTTATGAGAGCACATCACTACATATGACACTGAGGCTTTAGGTCTTTTTTGTCGTCAATATATATATATATATATAAATCAATACTTTATATTTTCGGGGTTGTACTTGCGCTTCGACATATTTGTTGCAATAATTAAATGAAATTTCACATTTCAAAGGGTATAGTTGTTGCGCACACATTTCAAAATAAAAGTCCGGTATAAGAAAAATTATTTAAAAATTTAACTTTTGTTGGGTTTTTTTGACCACACACTCCGCGACCCACTGAAAATGTTCCCCCCAAAATGAGCCACATTTTGGTCACGACCCACCAGTTGAGAAACACTGCTCTAGTGGATTGATCATCTGAAACGTGCAACAAAATGTACATGGAGCAATGTATTTTACATTTTGCAAAAATATAGACTGATGCACATATTTTCTAATGAAACTGGTGTTTTGTCTTATTTTTATCCTCAAGCCGTGTTAAGACACACTTCTAATGATTTTCTCTGTCTTTCCAGACCTCTGCAGAACAGACCAAAGCGCGGCTCCAGGTGCTTCAAACTGCAGGTACCATGATTCTCAGTTCCTCACTAGACTTTACTTCGCTCAGTCATTTCATTTTTAGTGTGGTCTAATGCATTTGTCAAAACATGCAGCGCATAGGCACTGTTTTCCACAATTAGATGAGAACTTTCAGTTTTAGTGTCATGAGTTGACTAGAAGTTGCATGTTCTGAGCATTGTTTTCATCATGCTTTTAGTTATATGATTGAATTGTTGTGATTGTAGATTGAGTCATTATTTATTCAGTAATTGCATATTGGTATTTTTAAATATGTAGTTCAGTTCTATGCATCGCAATAGACAAGCCACTAGCATTACTGTGAACAGGAGAGATTAGATTCACTTCAGTTTGATGGGAACTGTGTTTGACTGTAAATGCCTATGCATGTCCCAGGGTGGACGCTGAGTAAACCAGCTTAAAAGAGATGTTGCATATACTTACCCAACATGCCAGAAAAAAGAAACTGAACGTCCTCAATGCTGTCCAAGCACATTTGGTTTTTGGTTCCTAATAGTTAAAAAACAAAATCCAAATCCGCTCTCTGTTGTACCCAAATTGTTGCGTGGTAAAGCAGTTCTGTGCATTGTGATCAAGTTTTAGTGATGCTACGGTAAAATCAGACTCCAGTAATGGACAACTGCGCTGAAGTGTGTGACTGACTACACAAATAATGGGATTTGTTTCTTGACCTGTGTTTTCATTGTGTTCGTCTTGTAATGCCACTTCGATTAGGTGTTTGCTAAGCAATTTATGAATGCAGACATTTTCAGAGACTGGAGAAAATAAAGGTTTTGAGATGTTACGGTTTAAAATTTTGCAGATTTGTGAAAACATGAAGAATTGGATTTCCTTTTGGAGGCTGTTAAAGATAAAAGATCATTTCAGCACAGATCACTGTGAAGTAGACTACTAAACTACTAGCATTCAGCCATGAAGATGCTGCACTGTGTGTCTGGTATTTCTTACATTGTGGGGACAAAATGCCCGCACAACTATAGCAATGCCTTTAAAGTTTGACCTTGTGGGGACATCATTTTTTTAGGGGTTGGTTTTAGGGTTAGGTAAGGGCTAGAATATACGTCTGTACAGTATCTAAATTATGAAGTCTATGGTAGGTCTACATTAAGATACCTGTACAAGTATGTGTGTGTGTGAAAGAGAGACTTGATGAAGTAATTAATGTGATGTAATAATATTACCAGGACAACGTCACCTTTATTTCTTTTTTAATCAAATGTATGGTTCCAAAAAAAGGTATTCAGTGTGGTCCTGTTAAATCTCAGTTTCAAGGGGTATCTAGCCCTTCCCCGTAGCCCTACACTTTCAAGCTAAAGAGAATTGGGAACACCCTGCCCCTTAATGTGAATGCGTAAAATTGAGGGGGTAAGGGGAAGGGCTAACGGGCAGAATTGGGATTGGGCTCAAATGTCTTCGTCTCTTTCTTTGAGGAACATTGTTTTTAACCATTTTAATCATTTTTCTCATGTATTTGTTGGCAAACTGTTGATCCTCGGCCCATCTTTGCTCCTAAAGGACTAGACCTTTCTTAGGTGCAGCTTTTGTACCAAATCATACTTATAATTTCAAGTTTCAAACCACATCATTATTTCACAAGTTTACCTGATTACCAGCACTAAACTGCTCCAGTGCCAACTCGTCACCTTGGATTATATGGTTCTATCTGCGTTCTGAATGATTTTGCGATATTGAGCTTCAAAGTTTTTGCATTCCAAAGCTAACAGTGTGTGTGTGTGTGTGTGTGTGTGTGTGTGTGTGTGTGTGTGTGTGTGTGTGTGTGTGTGTGTGTGTGTGTGTGTGTAACATTTCTTTTTTAAATAAAAAGTCTTAAAATGTAAACAACTTTTTAAAAAACATCACATAATGTAAATAAGTTATCATTTAATAAGAATATGTCATTAACTCCAGTGTTTCCTCTAGGACTTTTTCCAGCTTTGGCGGCAGGCCTTTTTTACTCAGATCTACCAACCTGTGGTGTTATTTAAATGACAAATGTCGAGATCGCATCTATGTAATAGCCTACAGCATGCACTGAAAAAAAATTATTCAAAGATTATTCCTTGGATTTACAAATTTTTTTACGTCATGTGGTTGTAAACAATTTATTTGTGTTGAATTTAAACAAACAAATTAAGTTGAACATTATTAAACTTAATTTGTTTGTTTAAATTCAACACAAATAAATTGTTTGCAACAGTTCTGCATGCAACACTTTTTTCAGTGTGCGAATGTCTTTGCTTGCGCGACGATTTCTTCTGCTTGTGCACAAAACGTCTTGCACGCCCCCTCAAATATACGCTGCTCAAGCGCAGATCTTCTTGTGCGCTCTTAAATAAACGCTGCTGAAGTGCGATTTAGTGCGTTTATGTAACAAGTATTTCTCCAACATTTATTAGATTTGCTAGGAATATTTATGAATGTCTTTAATAGACCTACAGAGAGACATTAATGCGTCCTGAAGTAAAGGGAAACGGCTAAACTTTGTGTTTGCTGGCCTCGCGCATCACGCACCTGTCAGTCAGTCAGTCAGTCAACACGTAACCTTAAAGGGTCACGAAACACCAAAACACATGTTTTGAGCCATTGACAGTCGTATATGTGTCCCACACTGCTATAAACACTATTAGGACACATATATCTCACTAAAAAGTGAAAATTGGTTGTTTTTGCGCTGTTTCGAGCAAATTCGTTCCGGTTTAAAAACAAATTTTTTAAGCTGCGTCATGGCCATAAAATCTTAGTGTGTAATTATTATTCATCATTGTTACAGTGCTTAGACAGCAGAGACGTGCAGTGTTGCATTTATAATGTGCTGTAGTGAAGGTTTTGTTTTCCTTTTCCCGCTATGAGAGCGCAGCTGGACTCACATGTGGATTACAGTGCAAAGACACTCGACAACAATACGTGTCTAAGGAACATTGTTCACCCGAGAGCTGTTCTCATCTGGAAATGGTGAAATCCGGATTTGCTGCTCGTCTCCTTTTAATAAAGACGCGGCTCTAGTTGCTGGTGATTGTCCTGTCTCTACAGATTTGGCAAGTGAGCGATCAGTGCTCTTTGTTTATTCAGTTTGTTCGTATCGAACTTACTATTACACCGAGTGTAAACATGTTAGCAACACAACCAAACTATTACCGTTGTGTAGGATTTTCACCGCATTTTGTGACCGGAATAACACACATGTCTTTCTGACGCTACCTGCCGAGTGCATCTAAGTTTTCGAGAAATGTGGAGGTTTTTTTCTCTCATTCGCCGTGTGGTATCAAACATTGCATGAAAAATACACGCTTAGAGCAGTTCCTCGAATCAAATATCTCGTTTGTCACGAGGGGCATGAATGAAACTCCTGAATGAAAGAGCCAAACTGCAGTTAAAGTCCACCATTTAATAATTTGGCAAATAATTCGACTACTAATGTCCATGTAAACACAGTCACTTTCTCCCCTGTGTGTGTGTGTGTGTGTGTGTTTTGACTCTGAAACTCAGCGCATGCCCAAACCGACACTCCCATATCACCCCTCTTTTGCTCCTCCGACACTCCCCCTAAACAGAGCTGGACACGCCCACTTTCCTGACTTTTTCCAAAGTAGAGGTTCCAAAACACCCTGCTGAAACAAGCAGGTTTCATGGCCCTTAGAAGAGTTAAACAAACAGCGCACAGCTCTACTACTACTATAGAAGAGTTTGCGCTGTTATAATTCTCCTTTTAATAGGTTTTGGTGCGATTATTACCCGCTATAAAAAAAAAAAAACACGACAATGTTTTGAATGAAACGCTGTAATGTAGCCGTGGCGGGATCGGTTTAGGCGTGGCGCCATGGAAGAATGAATATAGAGTGGAAACCATGAACTCAATTTGACAAAAATGTCTGATTGAATTTTATAATTCTAAGGTGACGAACTATTTTTAAAATACAAGAACCAAAATTGGTATACGTTTTTTTTTTTAAAAAAAGCAAAGAAATATAAATCATGAGGGACACATATTGTTTGTTGTATTGTCTGCAATGAAATACGAGACAAAGTCAATTTAAACATTACTACTTTCTTTTTATTTGCCTTTTCCATACTGTCATTTTGGGTTTTCGGGGTTATATTTTTTAAAGATGCTAGTATTCAGCCTAGAGTGACATTTAAAGGGTTAACTAGGTTAATTAGGCAAGTTCTGGTAATTAGGTGTGATTTCTCAGAATGTGGTATAATTTGTTGAAAAATTGGGAAACATTCTGCTCTAATGTAGCAATCACTGTACAGTAGGAAATGCTCCTCCGTTTCTACTTGTTAGCACAGTCTCTCTCTCTCTCTCTCTCTCTCTCTCTCACACACACACGCTCTCGGTGTCTGTGATAGAGCAGATGTTGGTGGTTTTGGAATGGTAATGTCGTCTAACTGAGAGCCCTGCCATGCTTTAAGCCCTCTGTTCCTCTGTACACCCGCCAATCGCTTCTTTCCAGCTTTTTTTCTCTCTCTCTCTCTCTATTCCCCTCGCTTTCCTCTTTTTCGCGAGGTCTCCTGAGATCTCTAAATCCTGCCCCGGCGCTCTAAGCTGCCCCCTCCTCCTGTCCATGTGTGGGAGTGTGTGTGTGTGTGTGTGTGTTGATGGACTCGGCGAGTGTGTGTGAAACAGATCATCCCCACGTAAGCTGCTCACACTCAATAGTGGAGGGGCCCCGGCAGACCTGTAATGAGGTCCCGTTCTCTGGGTTATTCTGTGTTGCGTTGGGTCGCTGGTCCTCCAGGGGCCCTGACCCCCCGCGGGCAGCCCTCACAACAGCACCGCGTCATTGTGAACATGCGCTTCAGATGCGCTTCCTACTTGCTTCACCTAAAACCGTGCCACTGCATCATGTGTACAAACGTTCATACCAGTTCAGTTCGCTGCTAAGGCCCTGGTTATTCTAGTGCAGTGGTTCTCAAACGTTTTTCATCAAGTACCACCTCAGAAAAAAATTGTCTCTCCAAGTACCACCAAAATGAGCAGTATT